CATAATGAGGCAAAGTAAAAACAAAATAACATAGTTGAGAGTTTATTTGAAGAAAAATTTTAAGGATGCAATTGTGTAGATCTACATTGTTCAATACGGTAGCCACTGGCCACCTGTGGCTATTTAAATTGAAATAAATCAAAATCAAATTAAGCATTCATTTCCTCAGCACCAGTAGGCACATTTCAAGTGCTCAATAGCCACAGAGGGCCAGTGGCTACCATATTGAACAGTGCAAATACAGAACATTCGTGTCAATATGTAATTTTTTTTTTGGGTGGTGCTGGGTGAGAGCTGTTTTACACTGGATCGGTGTTTTTTTATTTAGCATTTACTCCAGCTCTAAATTACCTCTCTTTAGAACTTGATCTGGCTCTGGATAAGTCTGTGTGCACCTGCATTGTCCCATATAGTAGCCCACGATTTACCAGTGTCTGTTGAATCCTGGAAATATGGCCAGTCTGAATTGAAATGTACTGTAAGTGTAAAATACACATTGGATTTCAAAGCTTTTGTGTGAATAAAGAATGTAAAAATATAGCATTAATAATTGTTCTAATTATATGTTGAAATATTATTTCAGATATATGGAGTTAGGTAAACTGTATTATTGAAATTACTTTCATGTGTTCTTTTTCACCTTATTTAATGTTGCCACAAGACCATCTTAAATGACATACATGGCTTGCAATACATTTTCACTGGTCAGTGCTGTTCTAGACCTCTTTGCCCTACTGTGTGACTCTAGAACTCTCTTCCTTTCCCTATCTCTTTCTGTATATCTGCACTGCCCAATATAGTAGACATAAGCCACCTGTAGATATTTCCATTTAAATTAATTAAAATGAAACAAAATTTAAAATTCAGTTCCTCTGTCTCGTTAGCCACATTTCAGATGCTCAGTAGCCACATGTGGTTAGTGGCCACCAAACTGTGGAGAACACTTCCATTGTTGTGGAAAGTTCTGTTGGACAGCTCTCACATAGATGGTACACAGCTATGGCAAGAGACACAGAGGTGGATCATGAATGCCTAAAGCTTGGAGAATGTTTCCAGATTGCCAAACCCCATGACACATCCTTCTTCCATCTCCTAGATGCCTATCTCTCCCTATCTTAGTTAGACTTATTCACGCACACTTTATATTTTCTTCTCCCCTCCTTCAAGGGCTGTGGCCTGCTTATTTAAACCTGAATATACCTCCTTCCTGTATGAACACAGTGTCTAACATGGTGCATTGTACAGTATAGGTATTCATTAACTATTTCTTAACCAGTTGGAGTGGCAATTCCTAGCAAGTGACTGGAAATATGTGACTAAAGGTAGAGGGAGATCTATATGGCTGGTAGCAGTGGGACAGGGGCCGGGGTGGGCAGTGGCGGCGATGAATCTAGGATCCCAAGGAAGAGAAGGAGAGAGCAGAGAGACAGCAAAGAGGAAATCAGAGAGACAGTAACCCAAAATCTTAGACACATCACCAAAATCCTCCTGCCTATCCCACAAGCTCCTCGCAGGCAGTGACAAGAGTTACTGCAGAAAAATTCACAGGGTTAGGCAACAGCTATATAAAAAGTGGGAAAGAAATCCAAAATATTATTACACGATAAATAAACATACCAGACCCATAAATCAGAAGTTGAAATGGCATGAAAATTAAGGGGCTGGTGAGGAGAAAAAATGAAAAATGCTCTGTCCCTGGGCCAGCTGGTGTGAGTTACATTTTATGAGCAGCATGTGAATTCCAGTGCCCTTGCTGGATTAGCAGCAGAATCGCACGTTAGTTTTAAAGCTCCCTCTCGAATAGGAACATCATAACGTCTTTTAATTGGGCCTGATAAAAACGTAGCATTACTTGTAGGTTCCTGAGAGAAGTGAGTTGTGAAATTGGGTTTTCATTAAACCTAATGATGGAAAATTAAGTATAGTGCGTCTGGTGAAATGGAGTGTGATAAAAGACATCACTTCTGCATTATCAGAGGTTAATAAGGGAATAGGTGAGGTAAGATACTTTGGAAAGGGGAGTCCAACCCGTTGGATTAATAAACCTTGAAAATCCCTTGGTTCTGAGTCTTCATAGCATCGTTAGCACTGGCATTGACATTATTGCAAATGTTACAGCAATGCAAGTTGTTAAATTTCAATGCATTTATTTTCCATTCCAGTGTTGGTTTTGCTGACACCAAGTTTACAGTCTGTCTAGCAATGTGTTTAGGGAAAATATCCATATTGACAGCTATTTGGTTGGTTTTGGAAACATTTGACGTTTCTCACACACACAAAAAGCCAAGTTCCCATTCCTAGGAAGCCTGTCTTTCCCAGGCAGCTGGTCTCCCATGCAGCCCATGCCCCAAGTTCCTCTGGGAGACTATGGGTCTCCGAAGACATCTGTCCCCATCACACATAGTGGGAAATACAGGCCTCCTAGCATTGACTCAGCTCATCCTTTCCTAGAAATCGTGGCGTATGGCATGACTCCAAGCTTTAGGTATTCACAATCCATACCTCTGTGGCTCTTGCTGTAGCTTTGTACCATCTCTAGATGAATCAAACACAAGTGCTCCCTTCCTCTCCATTTCCAATCACACCATCACAGGAGTGATATTCGCTGGAAGGATGCCTTTGATGACAGCTATTCATGACAGCTGGGACACCTACAAGAAACAGTGTGAGTCTTTAAAGAAGGAGATTCCTCCTAAAACCTTTCAACAGGTTCACACTAGCTTCAAGGGTCTTACACATTCACAGTCTTTCTGGATCTGCCTTGCATCTCTCTTACAGTGTTGCCCCCCTGACATTTCTACCCACAGCTTTTACTCCTAATCAACCTCCTTGCTTTTAACTAAATGTGCCTTCATCTCTCAGGCTCTGTCCTTTTTCTTCAGTTGGTTCTTCTTGCCTATTTCCTTGCTAAACTGTCAAGCCTTGAGGGTGGAATCAGTATTTCTGTCTGCATTGCCACTGCCTACCATAGTCCTTGTCACAGAGTGGGTTCTCAGTAAGTCGAACTCATGAACCCAGGGGGGTGATGGAGAAAGGAAACAGCCCCCATGTTTGCCAAGTGGTGCATTTAAGCAATGCCAGTGAACACATACTAGCTATTACCTAAAATCGTGGGAGAAAAAGTAAGCAGTATTTCTCTTCTGTGCAGTCAGGAAGGTTTTGCTAACAACTTGCCTGGGCCCTTCTTTCTTGTGCATATATCTAAATCTTAGAAATCTTTCTGTAGGCAATCCAGGGGTTATTTGGCTGGTCCCCAAAAGACAGCCTCTGCTTTGGGGATGTTTACGTACTACCCTGAATCAGGAAGTTTTGGAGACTACACTCTACCTACGATGACCCCACCTGCTAATTAGATATGACCCAATCAGTGTCTCAAGCTCAGACCAGTCAGATTAGTAGCCTCTCCTCTCTTGGAGGAGCCAGTAGGTGGGGGCAGGCAGAAGGCTGCAAAGTGAAAAATTTATCCCCTACTCCAACCACAGGTATAATTGAAAGCATTAGGGTGACCAACCATTCCCGTGTGCCCGTGACTGAGAGTTTTCCCAACAGCTGAACTTTCAAAGCTAAAACTGGAAAATTGTCAGTCAAACTGGGACAAGTTGGTCACCTAGAAAGCAGGAAGGCCAGGTGTTCCCTTCCGTTATCTTGCCAGGAACAGGCTTGCTGATGTTGCTGCAGAAAAGTAGAGTGTGCATTCACACACGGAATCCATGTCTGATGGATTATTCCAACATGACAGGCAAACAAGCTGAAGGGAATGTGGATTTTGAAAAGACAAGTTGCAGAAAATCAGGAATATATGCTAAGTCTCCCAGGGAATGAGTATGGCATAGGCCAAGTGGGTATCTGCATAGGTGTTTCACAGGGTCTGAAAACATCTGGGGGAGACACATCAACTGCTGCAGCTGACAGTTCTCATCTCTTGCATGCCACAAACAAGATGGTCCGGGGCATAGACTGTTCATTCATGTCTTTGGAAGGAGGTTGGGAAGACCAAGCCTAGATGGTTCTGGGAAAGGTAAACTGGCCCTGAAAGACCAAGAATGTATGCCTGGCAGGAAGGTGGTAAGCAAGACATTGGTTTTAGTGGTCCAAGGGGAACAGAAGAATTCCAACCCAGTATGAGCAAGCATCAGCTTTCAGGGTGGCCAAACTGACAGAAGGCAGTTAAAGCAACTCATTGGATGAAAAGGTTTTTTTCAAGAGAGAATATAGATCTTACATCAGGCAGAGATTTTATGAAGGCGATGAGGCACGGGATCCAGGCCTGGAGAAAGTAGCTAGCTGCACTGAAGGAAGAGGTCCAGGCTTCCCTACCTGCAAGGTGGGTTCAATGATGCCACTGGATTAATAGTATTAAGTGATGGGGAAACTATACAATAGCAAGAAGGTGGTCACTGGGGCAGAGCTCATAACTACAGAGAGCAGCTGGGAGGGTCAGGGTCCCTGCTAGCTGCTGGCAGTCCAATACTGGCTGCAATTCCTCCCAGGGTAAAACTCAAAGGAAAAAAAATTAGTAGATAAGCCAGATCACAGAGATGCAGGCAAATGGACCAGTGGCTTATATGTGACTCCAATCTTCGAGCACCTGAGGCTCTCCTCCCCTGCAGCCAGGCATCAGGCACTATTTCCAGCCTCTCTGCTTCCTAAACAGGAGGGGGGCTCCCAATAAATAGCCTTCCTGCTTCTCAGTGGTTCTGCCCCACCAAGTCTAAAGGAAGGACTGAGACAGACTGGAATGACAACCAGGCTGGAACTTTGTCAGTATGTGCCCTTGAAATGTATTGTGTTTGTTGGTTTGTTTGTGGGTTTGATACTTAGATCTACCAACACAGCCAGGCCAGGGAAGGAGTGTATCTCCGGTCTTTCTGCAGTTTCCTGATCAGTTGAGTCCCAAGTTGGTTCCCTCTGCCCTCCTCAGGCCACGCTGGGGGAGACAGGGAGGACAAAGGGCAACGCTTCTATAGGTGATGATCTGTTCTGCCTCCTTCTTTTCGAAGCAGATGGCAGCCGTGGGGAGCTTTCCCAGCCCACCCTCACGATCCAGACTCATCCCTACCGCACCTGTGACCCTGTGGAGATGAGTTACCCCCGGGACCAGTTCCAGCCTGCCATCCGGGTGGCTGACTTGCTGCAGCACATCACGCAGATGAAGAGAGGCCAGGGCTACGGGTTCAAGGAGGAATACGAGGTAAGAGACCAGCCTGTGGGGAAACTTTCTGATTGTTTCAGATGCTTATTTGGGCACTAAAGCCTTGCTACAAAAAGCAAGGCTCCCTGGCCAGCAGCATCAGTATCACCTGGGATCGTGTGGGAAATGCAACATCTCAGGCCACATCCCGCCCTGCTGAATCAGAACCTGCATTTTAACCAGAAACTAGGTGATTTGTATACACATTAAATTTGAGAAGCGCCATGCTAAATAATTCTAAGACTTCACTCCTGTTTCTCTCCCCTTCCCCTTTCATTATCCAGAGTTTCATTATCTCCAAAGTTTCTACACCTTGGAGTCTCACCTCCATTCAATATGCCAGAATGGCTCCAGCTCCCATCCCACATGCTGTAGAAAAGCCAGCACATCTCCCCTGCCAATGATTTCCAGCATGCCTGCTTGCTCTTGGTCACCTCTTGTCTCATACTCAAGCTTCTGTAGTATTCTGGTCCTCGCTCCCACCCCACAAAGGCAATGCTTCATCTCCAGTGACCACAGTTCCCTCTTTCTGCACCTTCTCTTCACCCTGCATGGGCATCCCTTTCCCACCTCCCCAAAGCATCTCTAACACAAAGGATTTGCAGGTAGTGGTTGTTACCAAGGTTTGGGAAATAATAGAGAAGGACTGCAGCAAACGACAGGCAGCACCTCAATACAACGCTGTTCTTCTTATAAGTTCCTTAACCATCTACATTGCTGGTAAGGCCTTCTAAAGTTCTGGTCTCCCAACAGGTCTCTATCTAATTTCTCCTCAAAGTCATCTTTAGTGTCCTCAAAACTTCCTCCACCCCCACCCCTCAGCATCCAGACAAAGGGCCCCACATTCCTCTTTTATTTTGCAGAACAATTTAGCTTTCTCTATCTCTTTTTGTTTCAAATCCTGCCCATTAGGCCTCACCTTTTACAAACAAAAAGCAAAATAAAAGGAAAATGCATTAAGACGTTTTTTTCTGAACCAAAGAGCAGCTGACTCTCCAAGAATAATTCTGCAACTCTCCTAGTTGCAGGTAGACTCCAGCTGCAGTCAGCTTTGAAAACAAGAATTTCTTTCTTCACTTTTCCTTTCGTCTCTCTCCCTTCCCTCTTTCCTTCCTAAAATATCTTTTGAGTATCTTCTGTGTACCATGCTCTGAGTTATATGTATTTGTGTGGGGTTTTTTTTGTTGTTGTTTGTTCTTTTTTTTCTCTTCACATGCAGTGTGTGCCCTAGATATGCTTGATTCAGTTTTGCTGTGTGCAGTAGAAAACTCATTGGCTCAGACTCCACACATTTGGAATTCTTGATATTGCAGACTAAGTTTATCCCTCAGACTATATTCTGAGAAAGAGCTTACAAAGCAATATTTCTGAAGTCGTATGAGGTCATGAAATTGTGCTAAACTGGGGGTCCAGACAGCTGGATTCCAATGTAGTAAGCTGTTAGATTTTAGAATTTTGCTATCTGAGTTTTAAAATTCTTTATTAGTTGAATGAAGAATTTGGATAAGGTGATCTCTCAGGACCTATCTGGTCCTAAAACTTTATGCGCATGTAAAACATGGTGACAAGGGGCATGTTTGACATATCTATGAGAACAAAAACGTTTTTGTCAATGGATGTGAGTAATTACCAGCTCGGGAGGGCTAGCACTTAATTTCAAAAACGGTATAAGTAAAATAGCATTTTTCATATTCTCATCTACAAATCTTGAAAGGATATTCAAATTAGAGTTGAAGATGATGATCTCATTACTACCCATCCCTGGATCTCATTTGCTAGGGGATTGAATGGTCCCAGTCTCGGGGGCATAGGGTGCATGTGAGCGTGCTTTATGTGTGTGTATACAGACCTGTTTGTTGAGCAAATGTCAGGAAGGTTATGTTGTTTGAAATGGTATATTCAACATTAGTCATAACAATTTGATTAAAAGTTTCAAATATCATTAAGGGAGATATGTGGCTTACCAAAAAAAAAAAAAAAAAAGGGACAAGCAGCCAAATGCTGAGAAACACGTATGTAAGAACTTGCAATCTGAAATTTGAAGACGGAATTACAAGTGTATTTGACACTTTCATGCATTTCCTTCTAAATTAACATTTCTTTTAAAGCATTCATCCCTGTGTGATGAGTTGCTTTTCAAAACTTTTTCTTTGTACCCTTTTGCATTTTCCAAACTTTCTAGCATGGAAATGAAGAGCTTTTATAAGACAACAAACAATACATGTCATTTCATCATTTGAACCTCAACCAGAAATCTAACTAGGCTAGCCTTGGCCTCAATTAGTTCAAATTATATTAATCAGCAAGCTGTAACGCTTAGCTTCTAGTTAACATTATTTTCTGATTAACTGAGGGTTAATTGGAAAATATTGCCTGATAAAAGTCATTTCACAATGTGCTAGCCCACAATGTCCAGCCCAGAATACAGCTGGATATTGCTTTGATCATCAGGGCTCCTCTGATATCTCGAATCTTCATCCTGAGCATAAGAGTCACAGATCTGCTAGGAGAATCCTATTGCAGATATAAGACTCCTGAGCCTCCAATCCTACTCTCATATGAGTCTGCTATGTGCTGTTTGTTGTCTGTCACTTCTCTGTTCTCAGTTTTTTCATACAAACGAGTGGGTTTGACAAGTTGACATCTAAGGGACATCTCAGCCATAGCAAGCTGCGTCAGAAGACAAAATTCAATTCAGTTGAACAATCACTTAAAATTTGTTCAGTAAATATTTACTATTTATTATTGCCAAGGACGATTCTAGGTATTTGGGATACAACAGTGAATGAAACAAAGATTCTTGCCCTCCTGAAGCTTGTATTCTAGCAAGGGAAGTAGGAAATAAACATAAGCTTAAAAAATAAGCAAATTTTATAATGTAGTGTGTTAGACAGTGAAAAATACTGTGTGCTATGTTACAAACCACTCCAAATTTTAGCAACATAACCAGTTTCTTGCATTCATTGATTCTGTGGAATCTGTGCAGGGTACAACAGGGATAACCTGTTTCTTCCACACAGTATCCAGAGCCTGGGCTAGGAAGTCTCCAAGGCTGGGGGCTGGAATCATCTGAACATGTCTTCACTCACATGACTAGTGACTGATGCAGGCTTTCAGCTGGGATTGTCCACTGGAAGACCTACACATGGCCTCTTCAGTGACCTGGGCTTCTTCACAGCATGGTAGCCTTGAGATAGCTGGACGATTTCCATGGTGGCTTAGAGCTCCATAGGTGAGCTCCCCAGATAAAAGGTGAAAAATGCATCACCTTTGTGACCCAAACTTGGGTATCACACTGCATTATTCCTACCATGTACTATTGGTTGTAAGCAGGTAAAAACTCCCCTACTTTCTAGGAGAGGGGAATTTGACTCTATCCCTTGATGAGGGAGGAGGAGGGGCACTTGCCAGATTCTAGAGGAGCATGCAGAGCAAGAAATATTGTGGGGGAAAAATAAAAGCCCAGGCGCAGTGGTTCATGCCTGTAATCCCAGCACTTTGGGAGGCTGAGGTGGGTGGATTGCCTGAGGTCAGGAGTTCAAGACTAGCCTGGCCAACATGGTGAAACCCTTTCTCTACTACAAATACAAAAATTAGCCCGGCGTGATGGTGGGTGCCTGTAACCCTAAGTACTCTGGAGGCTGAGGCAGGAGAATCACTTGAACCCAGGAAGCAGAGGTTGCAGTGAGCTGAGATCATGCCACTATACTCCAACCTCAGGGCAGAGTGAGACTCCATCTTCAAAGAAAAAGAGAAAGAAAATCTTTGGATAATAATACAGTCTGCCACAAGTACCATGGAAAAAGAAAGAACAGAGCAAGGAAGGGAGATTTGTTCCAGGGACATGAAGTAAAGGAGGTTCCAATAGTAAACAGGATAAAAGGGTAGTCCTTAATTAGAAGATGAAACTTGAATAAAGACATGGTGGAAGATATCTGGAGGAAGAGCGTTCCAGATCCAGAGAGTAATATACCTGGCACGTACAAGCAGTTGCAAAGAGGCCAGGATAACAGAGGCAGAGTGAGCAAGGGATAAAAGTAATAGGAGATTTGACTGGAGAAATAAAGAGGGACCTGACCATGCTATGCATTACAACCCGTTATAAGGACTTCGACTTTTACTCTGACTAAAATGGAAAGCCACTGCAGAGCTTTAAGAAGACAAGTGCTAATGATCTGTCCTTACTTCATTCTAGCTACTGTGTTGAGAATGGAACTTAGGAAGGCAAGGGTGAAAGCAAGGAGACCAATTAAGAGGACATTGCAGTAACTCAGGTGAGAGACAACAATGACTCAGGGCATGGCAGAGAAGGTGGTGAGACGTGGATGGATTCTGAATATATTTAAAAGATGGAGCCAACAGCATTTCCTAACACATGGTATATGTTACAAAAGGAATTAAGGGTAACTCCAAGGTTGCTGTTTGTGCCACTGGTAGGACGGAGCTGCCTCTAATGGAAGTGGGGACGCTCAGGTAAAGCAGAGCTGGAACAATCAGTAGTTTCATGTTAAATTGAGTTTGCAATGTCCATTAGACATATTAGTGTCTCCATGTAGCAAGGAGGTAGTTGGATCTATGAAGCTGAAATTTGGTAAAGAAGCCTGGGCTGGAGAGAAACCTTTGGGAGTTATTGACCTACAGATGATTAAAGCCACACTGGGTGAAGTCATCAAGCAAGTGAGTATAGACAAAGACAACGACCTAGGACCAGGCCTTTCAGAATTTCAACTTTAAGATATGGGAGCATTTTTCATGGGACAGACACTGTACTAGGCTCTGGGAACTGAAATAGAGCCCTTGCCTTCTAGAGAACGTAGAACCTATTCTTAGAGACCAAAACAAATGCCACCATAGAGGTATATCCAGAGCTATGAGAATCCTTGGGGGTGGGATGCATTAACCCAGCCTAAAGGTGAACAGCCAGTGGCTTTCTGGAAGACATAAAGCCCAAAGCTTGAGAAGTAAGAAGAACCAAATTAAAGAAGGGAAGGGTGTTCCAG